TGTGGTGCTATTTTGTACTTACATTCCTCTGTACTTGCGGAAGTACAATTTTAGAAACAGGAATAGTGTAAAAAATTAAATAAAAATTTGGCAGCTTATCAAATATTTTCCATTAATAAGCAGAAGCTGTTTTGCATTAGGGTGCTGCAAAATTACAGCCCCAAACAGTTGCATTCCCAAATCTGGCTTTTGGTTCAAAAGCGTTAAAAAAAAAAAACAGTTTTTCCCACTTTGATTTTTTCAGCTAGCATGAATGGTTTTCCTGAATGCTTTAAGACCGTTTTTCATCAGCAGACATTTCAACTTAAAAAAAGCTGTCAACAGTGTGGACGTAAGAAGACAGTGCAATGTGTCCATCACTTACAGGTGGGATGAGATGAACAGCAGGATCCAAAGAGACAGCTCTGACCAGCAGGTATAAGCAATTTGTCGTCACAGTACCCCTGGACTCAGAGAAATTATTTATCATTTGTAGGAGAAAGAGCTCGGACCTGTTGTCCGTAAAAAATGACCAGCGTTAAATATGAATGGTTGCAGAAGGGATGTTCATGCAGTTTGTAACTGTACTGTGTTATGTGGCCAGAATATCTACAAAACTCCACAATCAGCTCATTCACACCTCTCCCTCTATCCCTTTTCAGGAGGAAAGTCTAAATCATTTGTCATTTCAAAAATACATCAGGAAATCATGAAAAAGGGACTTCATTATTACTTAAATGATTAGTAGTTATTATCATTATCCATCCCTTTTAGGAAGCATCACATTTTCAGATTTCATGTCACAGAGGTTCTGAAATAAAAAATCATGAATACGTTAAGTGGCAAATTTGAAACTGATTCCAGAATAACAAGTTGGAATTTGAGAGTCTTTTGCAAAGTTTGTTTTTTAATTTGCAGGCATTTATAAACAGAAAAGGCCAAATCAGTCCAGATAAAACATGGATGCTCAATCACAGTTACTCAGATAACTTTTTTTTTATTTTTTCATTTTTTGGGGGAGTTGTGGGAAAGAAGAAAGAAGAACTGAAAAAGATTATCTTTTCAGCTTTGCCAGGTAACTTAGATGAGCAGAGATAAGCAGCCAAAGTGTCCAAATGGTGTCACCAGGACCCAGCAGTGTAAGCATATGATGCCCCTTGGACAGCTGAGTTTGTCATCACAGCCTTCCCAGTCTACAGAATTGATGCTCAGGCCATTGCTTGGAGAGGACAAAGAAGAGCCTCTTTGTGGCATTAGCCTTATAGTAGACAAACTTTTGCAAAAGAAGAAATCATATCAGCAACAAGTAATTGAAATAGTAGTGTGTTCTTGCTTAGTAGTGCAGACAGTTCACATGTATTCTTGGTGAATTAAATAGGAAAGTGTGTCTCAGCAGCCATAATGTGAAAGATGTGGGAACAGCAAACGTCCTGAAGAATACTTTGCCTTTGAGTACACTGCATTGTAGTGTACAGTATTTTCTTTGATTTATGGTGTCATGCGCTAAGGAGGCCTACCAAGGCCGTGGAAACACCCAGAAAATATAGCACTTTATAGGCAGCATTATTTACTTCTTCATCCTGACACAAGGTGAAGTTAATTTTGTCAAACCTTGCCATAGCTAGTGAGACAAAGTACCATTCAAGAGGCCCTTGGGGCAGATCAGAACTTTTTTTTTCATGGTCAGGTTCCTGAATTTAGTGGAGTAAGACCTGGCAGAAGCACGAACAACTATGAAGAAACTCAGCATCCACTGCGCCTGGAATGGTTTCTGTAGGAGTTGCAGCACAGATCAGTTTAGTTACTTGTGACTGCTCCTATGGGCTCTGGAGCCTCTCATGCAGAATGTGCCTGAGGATGACAGAATAAACAGAGCAGCATGCAAAAGCAGTAGAAGCTGTGTGTTCATCTGGAATTGGAGAAGAAGCTGCAAAACAGGAGTAGCATGCTGTTTGCTTATGACTGATATTAGGGAATAAACTACCTGTGCACTGATATTAAACAAAACACCCAGGCAGTAATTAGATCTGTCACCACTTAGCACAGCTGGCACCCTGTACCGTAATTCTGTGTGAGAAAATGTGTCCTGAGAAGCAGCTGTTCTCACCTCTGTCAAAGGCATCATGCATTCACTAAGTCATACGTTCAATTTCAAACTACGAGTATTGCTCACTTTTATTTGCTTTACTAACATCTTTTATTCTTCAGCTCTTGGAGGGAACAATATGAGAGACTGCATGTTGCAAAGGGATTTCCCTTGGCAGGCAGCTACAGTCACTTCTTTTAAGTAGAAAAATTCCACTAGCATTGAGGTATGGAGGATGGACTAGGGCTAGATAAAGCGTAAGGACAAAGCAAAGAGGTCAAAAGAACAATTGAGAAGTTTACATGAATTAAAGATAAAAGCAGAACTGAAGAGTTTGAGATGGCTTGAAGCAAAGCCCAGTAAATCAGTGCTAATGCGTTTTTTCTGTCTTGCCCACGCCTGTCCTATTTCTGGTTAATAATATCCACTTTTTAGTGAGGGAAAAGGTTACAAGATGATAATCAGAATATTTCAAATGCTGTACTGAGCCTGAGGATAGAGCTGAATGCAGGTATCAGCTGGGATAGGAGATCCAGCAAAGAACTGCTCCTTAAAGCAAAACAATTTTATCTAAATTCATCTTCTGTAACAACTCACCTGTCTTCAGTTTCAGCCAAACATACTGCTATTGAAATGAGCAACTGTGACTCTGCATGGTGAGGCTTTAATTTCTCACTGCTGGTCAGTGGGGCTGGTTGGCTTTAGAGTCTCGTGTTTGTTAGGACCCGGGAGCATGCAAGTCTCCTCGGAGTTCAAAAATAAAGCACTTAGCGTCAATAAAAGTGGAGAAATGAGGGGTGGAGCTGATCCACAGTGGCCCCTTTGTTATTGTAGCTAGGCAGTGTTTCGGAAGTGCTATGTTGCCACCCACGCTGAAAAACTGCAGACACTAATAATAAACAAAAGAAGACAATGGTGAGGAACGGTGCAGCTGCTGGCAAATGCACAGTGCAGCTGCTGGCAGCTTGCGTAAGCTGCTCGCCTCTGCACATGAAGGAAAGGCGGGCAGCCAAACCTGCATGGGAAACACAGGCCACTCTTTGCAGCTTGAAAGTGAAGGCAGAAATGTCGGGAGTTTCTGAAAGGAAATCTAAGTCTTGTCACTGACCCTGGGAGTCTCCTACTGCCCTCCCACTTGCATTAACTCACTTCTGCCCAGTTACTTGTCACTCTAGCATTCGCTTTGAGGCATTGGATTTGCTCGCAGCTAGGACCAAAGAAAATTAAAGAAATAAAGCAGAGCTGCAAAGAAAATTAATAGCATGTCAGAGGAAATGAGGACTAAAGAAATCACATACATTAAATAAGGTGTGCTTGTGTTCCAGATTAGTCTGGTTGGCCAAGCATTTATAGACTCACAGAATCAGAATATCTGAAATTGGAAGAGACCATCAAGGACTATCAAGTCCAAGTACTGTCTCCGTACAGGACCACCTAAAAATTAAACCATAGGTCTGAGAGCACTGTCCAACCTGAGCTCTGTCAGGCTTGGTTCCCTGACCACTTCCTGGGGGGCCCCATCCCAGTGCCCAACCACCAGTGCCTGGTGAAGAACGTTTTTCTTATGTCCAACCTGAGCCTTCCCAGCAGCTTGCTGTAATACATGCAAATGTCAGGTTTTACTTCTCAAGATGATAGACTTGTCCTGTTGGCTGAATGCTGGAACCTACTCCCGAAACCCTGTAAAAGACAGTGCCTCTGTGTGATGAGTGCCTGCATGCTCCCACAGTGATAACAGGGCTAAAATTGCTAATCTGATGCTTCAATATAAAAACAGAGTAAAGTCAGGTAGTAGTAGATGGGTGTTGTTACTGTTACGCTTGTCACTCCTTTCACCAATGCTGCAAAATCAAGTCTTGTGTTGCAGTACTGAGAACAGTACTAACACTGGTAGTAAAAACTGGTACTAAAATGGTTAATAAATTGGGTAGTGCTAATAGATAACTGGATGAAATTCAGAGATTTTAGCATGATTAAATGATAGGAGACATGGCATAGTAAGACACCAAGACATTCACCTGTCTCGTATAAAAGACAAGGAATAGGGATAACTTCAATAAAATCTGTGAGCACTGCACAGTACCAAATTTAGAAGGCTGCCGCCAATCCAGGAGACAAAGGTTTAACCAGATCATGTGTCTGGAATTTGGAGCTATGCATATCGAGATCAGCAACAGAGGACAACTTCTGAAGGCAAAAGGCAGTGACTATCTGGAGAACACAGCTTTAGTCATGCTTTGTGGAGAATTTGAAATCGCTAGCAATTTTAATGCCAAAAAATCTCTTTTTTTATTTTCTTTTCCTGAAAGAAAAGTTATCTGGGAAATCCCTGGCCTGTGATACACCAGATTCTACACTTTTATCACATTACTTTCTCTGGGCTTCTGGAGCTGAATTCAGATTCCCTGCAAACAACTCAAGGATCATGAGACCCGAGTATCTCATGCTGTAATGCCATTATAAATACACTTTTCTTATCCTTTTGGTACTTTTTCTCAGAAAACCAATTGTTACATTGTTACAGTATTTAAATTCCATTTCTAATAAGCACTGAAATGTTAGTGTGATTTTATTCCATCCATTTTGAGGAGTTGTCTAGAGAAGAACAAACCAGTTACGTATGTACCAATTAAGTATGAACCCAGCTAAATTTTTGTTCCAAACTAAGCTGAGACAGTCATTCTCTAGGGAAGCTTGTACAAATTCAGTTACCTTCCCACTGCTACGTTTACATCTGTCTACTTGCCTAAATGGTTGTTGATCTAGGAAGCAAAGAGCAAAGCTTGAGAAAACTTGCTTTCCAAGCCTGGAAGGTCTGCAGGGATCCCCTGTCCTCTGACTGGTTAGTTCTGGGCAACGTGTGGATTTGTTATGTCTGACCAACAGCAGGTAATGGAATACTATTGGTGAGCTGGTCTGTTCTTTCTCTTTATAGTGCCTACACTGAGCCTTATAAGGTATGCCCAGTCTCTGTGATACCTGTGGAGGTCATCACATCAGATGAGGAACAGAAGAGTTCAGAAGATGAGAAGAGCAGCCAAGGTGATCCCAGCCTCATCAACAAGGTAAAAGAGCTGCACTAGCAACAGTTTACCCCTGTGGCATGTAGCTGAGACAAGGAACTGCAGTACTAAGATAGACAGTGGAGGCAACGTCGACAGTAAGAAGGGCCTGTTGTCAATGTTGGGACAAATTTCTCATTCAGCAGAAGGATCTGACTGCAGTTCTGGGAATTTATAAGCTACACAGAATAAAACAGTGACAAACACATTATTGAGACAAGTTACACATTAGCTGGGAGATGGAGCAAATGATTTAACAGGTCTCTGCCATCTCAAAATTCTCTCATCATTGAAAAATATACTCATGATTAGGTTTATTTGACAGATTTCTGATTACTAGGACTGCTCTTGAACAAATTAAGAGGAGATCGAGGAAATGACCACAGGTAAAGGCCATACAAAGATGTTTTAATCTCCAATAAGCTGACTAACAATTCAGTTATTAAATAAATAGCATCAGGTCATTTTAGGCACAAATTTATCTTTGGTTTTCACAAACATTTTATTCAGTTCTTAAAACCTAATATAACCCTATCAACAACCTAATGTCTCTCTTAAGTACAAACACCTGCTGTACAGTCCATTTGGTACTTATGTAATAAACAGGTATGCTTTTCTATAGCCTGACAATTCAATTCACAGAACTGAGGTTGCACAGGAATATGGTAAACCTTTATTTCCTACACTTCTCTCTGCCACTCATTTTGGCCTGCTCTGTCAGTGTCAGCATAGCTATAGAGCTTCCAGATTATAGATGGTGTGTGTCTGATCATGGGCATGTGTAAGAGCCTGCAGAGATGGCACCTCCAAAACCAAGTCGATGTCAGAGTAAGGGGTCAGCTCTGTCAAGGACACGTGAAGCGTGTACTGATGTGTACTGATTCTAGGGAGATGCTTTGTCTGAAGGCAGGTTTAAAGAGAAGGGAACAGAATTCTGCCATTACCAGGGCACCAGCTCTTGAGACTAACAGAAACTGCAAGCAGAATGGTAGTGAAGTGCAAATGAGATTGCTGTTGCTTTAATCTCTGAAATAATTTCCTGTTTCCCCTGCATGCTGCATCACTTTTCGATGTACCATGCAGAGTGCTGAGCTGCCACTGGTACCAGTGGAACAAGATATGTTTGAGCAGTTTGCTAACTTGAAACAAATAAAATGATCATAAGCAATCTAATCTCTGAGAATGAGAGTTTCAACCTGCATCTCTCTGAGATATATGAAATTTTTGGGCTGTTTTCACACTGTTTTGGAAAGGGAAAAGCTTTTAAAGATGTGACATTTCCTGTTAAATGAAAAATATTTTCCTTTCTAGTTCTGTTAGCTAGCTGGCAAGCCATTTGCATCTATAGAGCATACACTCATGTGTTACTAAAGCTGATGAGGTTTCTCAGCATCCCTTGTTGTGATGTTAGTTGTGATGTCAGTTCAGAATTGAAAGAAAATAGGAACTTGCGTCCAGATGAGAAGCGCATACAGTCACCAAGCACTTGGAAGGAAATTCAGAGCTGCTGAGGAGATTCTTTGGGGTCATTTTTGTATTTTTTTACTGAAGACACTAGGAAATAATATTTTTCTAATTCTTTCCCTTAATGCATCTCACACCTTTTTATTGTTCTGTTGTGATGTGGTAGCCACACAATTTAGCCATCACAGCAGAAGGCAGCATTTACAGAACAAGCATGTACCTCAGAGTCTGTCTGGAAGCATCCTTGTGGCTCTTAAGGCAAATATAAACCAAATGTCTTCACATGGCTGATAGAGAACATCAACATAAGTCTCATTGTTTAATCAGTGTTGTTTACCAAGATAATGGTGAGCAAGGATCACAGCACACAGAAGATCTGTCTTCCACAAGCTCCTAAGGAATTGTCTTAAAACAGACGTATTTCAAAGCTGGCTAATGAATTATATCACACGTATATTTAGCCTGCCAAAGAAGCAGGCCAGAAAAGTAGACACAACCTGAACTTCTAGTATAATTCTGGCTGTAGGAGGATTAGTCATTCTGCAGTCTATTGGGCTGCAGTTACAGAGTCTTATAAGATTGGAGCAGCAGCAATTTCATCCTTAGCTAAGCCTGTTGCTTAGTATGCCAAGTTGGGAGCCTGTGCTTGTATGCAGGATAAGGAAAAGTGACGTGGCATGGAGGGAACTTTGAGTTTCTTTGTTCTTGTACTCTCACGTGGGCCAAACATACTGCAGGCATCACGTTGGACTGACTAAAGGAGTTTTGGGAACCATGCTGTCAAACCCTGTGTGTCCCAGCTGCCCCCAAGGCCCAGACTCTTAAATGGAGACAACTGATCCGGGGAGTCAGAGGGAACCTAAGTTCAGAACTCTTTTCACCATCTAATAGCCTTGAAACTGCTACTGCAGACTGAAGCCATAAACAATGGCCAGCTAAGAATCAATTAGATAGGGAAAACAGTTAGTGCAGAAACCTGAAATAAAAGATACAGATATATTTAACTGTTTTCTTTCTCCTGTGTAGTCACAGAATAATAGTGATACAAGAACCTTTCAAGGTCCCAGATAGCTCTGTTTCAGATTCTGTCAGAAAAAAACAAAAAACAAAAAAACCCAAACAACCCAACAACCAAACCCAGGGCTTCTAACTCACTGTAATTGAGAGCGAATGGGATAAATTCCATCTGTCCACTGGTCTTGTCTCAGAAAGTGCTGATGTCCCTACAGAGGACAGACAGAGGATGGTGTTTCCCACTCTGCTGCTCCTGCCTCATTTTGCTGTATTCTCATGCAAATCTTCTGGGTGCCAAGGAAACATTAGCTGCCCTGTCAAACGTGTCTCTCTAGTAACAACGTGCAAAGAAGTTGTCCAGCTCCCTAGTGAAGTACTGTATCTCCTCGAGCAAAATCCTCAGGACAACACAGATAGGCTATGCCACATGAAAGAGCTCAGAAGCACTATTACTCAGGAGAATTGGCAAAGACCAGTTGGTCTGGATGCCAAAAACAGTACCATGGATTTGGAAAATAGCTAATCTTGTTAAAGCAACTGTTTTGGGCTGGTCTACTAGGAGCTGAATTTGAATTCATAAAAAACACATTTGCACACATTAAAAATAACCCTCTGGGGCTTGCTGGCTTGATTTTTTGTTCTGCCCTCCTCAAGGTAATTTAGTTCAAATAAAGACATGAAATAACCTAGATGGTTCAGATTAGCATAACTTTCTTTTGTATCAAGCTGTATTCTACTTTCTGCCTTTCCCTGTCAAAAGTAGTGAATTCCTCTGAAAATGCAAGCAGGATGTTCCATTTTTTCTCACTTTCTTTCTCCTAGCCTCCTTGCTGGAGAATCGAAAGGTTTCCAGTTTGCAGCCCAATTTTTTACTAAGGTTCATTTTTATAATAAAAATAAAATAAAAATATTTTCAAAAATCAGCTTTATACACACTTTTCCAGGAATTGTGTCAACAGCTGTGTTTCTCTGAATCCCTGCTCACCTGAGGATGAGATTCACATGAATGTGGAGAAATTTGGGGTGACTGTTGGAATCCCTGTTCTGTAAACAATTTTAATCGTAGCCAATAGCATATGTTGGGGTATTTTTGACATTATCAACTTTATTTTAAAATGCAAACAAAGAACAAAAAGATTACCTTAGACCTTGAGAAGCTGAGCATTTGTCATCAGAAATTATCTGGTGGATTTGATTCTTCTGTGAAAGACTAACAGTGAAAATCCATTATTTCTGGTCAAATGAGCACTTAATTTCCTTCTTTTCAGTATGAAAATGCAGTAACAACAGAGAACTCCCAGGCAGGGAATGCTCTAAGTTTTCTTAACCTTTATGGTTTCACATAGTTAAATTATGAAAAGTGATGCCATTCACTGATGTTACTAATGGAGACTCACACCTTTTTATCCTCCTGCTATGCTATTCTAAAAGAGTTTCCAGGCCATTCTTCATTCATTTGACTTTTATATATGCTCATTTAATTAAATCTCTTCCACTTTATCAGATAGTGACACACAGCTGTTCTGTACTAGGCTCTCAAGGTTATATGATGATATTTAAGCTGCCCACAAAAAAAAATAAATGAAGTATTCTTGTTAGAAACAAACTACTTGAATCAAATGAAATATGGGATTTCTCAGTATCTCTCACCTCTGAATCCTCACTCAGTAGACAAATGCTGAAAAACCAGGTTGTAGGGCCACAGATTTTTCCTGTTACTATTGAGCTAGATTCATTCCTGAACTCCATGACTGTTTTTTACTGCTAATCCCTGAGCTTAATTGATTTGACTAGACATAAGTTTAAACTGAGCTCCCTTGGTGGAACTATTTTTTCTTGTTGTTTGGTCTTTTAGCAGCCTCAGAATTTCCATTTATAAAAAGAGGGCAAAAATATAGACAATATAATCTCGATTCTAAGAACCTCAACTTCAGAATTTGAAATGGACTAAAATCAACATTTGCTGGTAGGTTTCACCTACTGCTAATTGTGGCTTGAGTTTCTGAAGATGCCTGGATATGTTGGTACATCAGCTAGCCTACCATTGCTTGCTGGACACTACAGAGGACAGGCAGATTCTTAACAGATCCTTGGCAGAATGAGGGCCTCCCACAGGATTGTGGTTATATTATCACATGTCAAAAAAACCAAAAAAAAACCAAAAAAACAAACATAATAAAAAATAAACATAAAAGCACATGAGTCACTCATTCAATTCTTAAAGGAATTAGGCAGTGGTGGAGGCATTCCTGGCCTCTGGAGGGGTCACAGGTTTTGCCAGAAGGCAGAAGCTCTGGTCTAAGTGCCACTTAGAGCTTGCTGCTGCCTGACTGTATAGACAGTACTTGCTGTGCTGTTAGGCTTCCCTGTTCCTGGATGGGTATCACCATCTCCTGGCAACCCAGGCCCTAGGTACTGAAAATGATAATGGACTTAACACACTGTCAATGGTTGCTCCCTATACCCTGGCACCAGAGAAGGAGAGGGAGAAGGGGGCCGGGATGTACATTAACAGTCTATTTACA